GAGTCACTCTGGTTCAAATGCCTCTGACACGGCCACAGTGACAACATGAATATGCCGAACATTTGGAGGCACCAGTCAGGGATAGGGACAGGAGGCTTTTAACTCAATTTCCTTATACATTTGACCATCAATATCAGTTTTACAATCCTGTGACCCATGCCAGCGTTATATCGCTATCACACTATGGTAGATGTAACCTGAAAAATAAAATGATACTGGAACTTTGCTAGAGTCCCATTCATTTATTGATTAGCCCAGTCATCATCATATTGTATGACCAAATGTCTCTCAGGGTAAGTTTGCTTAGGTTTGCAAGCTTCTATTTTATCTTGTATGCTTCCATAAAGAGGGGTAGTCTCAGCAATAGATGGTTTCACCCCTTCAGGCATCTGGTATAACTGAGCTAAGTGACAACATCATCTTGCTCGGAGATTCAATAGACTACATAATATTGAATCTCTATCATTGCATAACACATTTATCCATTTACTCACAGCTACTATTCCTACTTCTGTGTAGGCCCTAACTTTTCCGTCTTTGGAAGGGAGGTTAGCTTTAGCTACAGTGCTGGTTTAGATTGCAGTGGGCAATATCAGTCTAGCAAGTGCCTTCCCCTCAGTCCACTCTCATTCAACTCATTTAGGATAGGGTGATAAAGATACAGAACTCATCAGCTCTTTCTACCACTAAGCAATATAGCTATATCTACTATTAACCCCAGCTTTGCCACTTGGGATCAAGGCAAAAGCTGCTCCATGAGGCCCTTAGGAATTCTGACATAAAGGCTTAAAAGTATGTTTACAGTTTCTTGCTTAGGAATGATCTCTGCTTCCAGTACTTGTGGCTGCCCTGTGCCTGCAGCCACTTCATCAGGTAGGAAAAAGAAGTTGAGATGAGTCTGGGCAAGTGGCTCACGCCTGTAATCCCAACACGTTGGGAGGCTGAGAGGAGGGCATCGCTTGAGCTCAGAAGTTCAAGACCAGCCTGGGCAACATGGTGAGACCTTTTCTCTATTTTTATTTAAACAATTAAAAAGTTTTTAAAAAGCAGTTAAGATCCTATGGGGAAGAAAGAAAAAAGTGTAGTCATAGCAGCACATTCCTTTTGTGGGAAGAACTGCATAGTTACGTCAGCATACCTCCCAGCCCCTCAGCCTCAGGTCCACAAAAATAGCAGAGGATTCTAGCTAGTGGGGCACTGCCTTGGCACTCTGATGTTAAGTGTGAGCATACACTCATGAAGGCATGTAAGTCAGCCCTTCCTGCCTCTATCTCCCCCTGTTTTGGCCAATGTCTTAAATGCCTATTCCAATTCTCTATTAAACTGTTATTCTGAGGATATCTGTGTTCATTGTTGGACATCACATGCTAAAACTGTGTCCCTTGGTCTGGACAAATGTGATTCAACCACCCAAATTGGTGTAGTATCTTCTATTGCATTTCTTTTATAGTATCTGAGCATTTGCCTCTACCACTAGGTAAGCAAAACCCAGTCCTGTGTGTCTATTTCTTTAAAGACCGATTTATAACCTCTAGTGCTACCAGCATCACTCCCACTTGCCAGCCATGTACTGGGCCTTCCCCCCAGGGAATCTGTCCCATAGCCATCTGAGTCTCTGTCTCTCTTGTTGGCAGACAGTACTGTACTTACTGGCATTTTGCACCTCAGAGGGTGAAAAAGGAATATGCCTAAATTTAGCCCATCTTTGCATTGCTACAGCCCCCACCCCACAACGTTCACCTGTTTCATGACCTAGGTGGCCACCCCAAGTGCACACATGAAGATATCCATCCGCTCACCGACTCCAATTACCTTCTTACCCCGAAAGGGGCTTCTTCTGATGTTTCCCATCTCGTTGAGTTTCTGTTTAAATTCTACACTTGCCTGTTTAGCACTCATTAATTATAGGACCAAACGATGGCCAAGCTGTTTACATCTCCCCTGCAATCCTGAATCCCTACTCTGATACTCCTCTTCACTTGATTCTCACACGCCAAACCAGTATTTCCCAGTCCTAAACCTGCCCCAAACTCGGCACCAAACAACTAGGGAAAATCCAGATACCCCCAAACCCGCTGGAATTATTCAAACTAGCCAATCCTAAGCTGTTTCCTTTACCCTGTCTTGTCTTTCCCATGGAAACCACAACAAAGCCCGAGGTCTATGCCTTCCCTCACTCCTTTCTGCCTCCTGATTGACACTGGTGCTTCCCTACGTGGTCCAGGATGGTGTAACACGATCCTCCTCTCAAGAAATGTGAATAATAAAAATCTTCTTTCAGTGGAACTAGCCTCTAGGTACTGTTACTCAGTCACTTTTATAAATTATGACCCAAACACTAAGACGACGGGTATGAACATGTTCTACTTTAATGCATCCCTCAAGTTCCCATGGTGGTTTCCATAGAGGTGGGCCCCACGTGGGCATCTCTTTAAGAGGCCACCTTTCCATTGCTCCTGTGCCTGACCATCTGGCCGGGACACTGACAACTGCTCATGAGTCAGGAAAACACCGGGCAAACAGTATGCAATTCAGTTTGATGAGTTAATTTATTTTTACTTTATAAATCAGAGTGGCAGCCTTTTGAACTGGATGCTGTCCGTTCACTTTGGAACTGCCATCTATAAACTAAGAAGTTCTTTGTTAATCATTAGAGAGCATTCACAGGACACCGTCCACGTTACAATAGGTTCTGGCAACTCCTTAAGTGGTTCCAAAGCCAGTCCCAGAACAAAAGAGTCTACCTGCCTATGAATATACTGAGAAACTATTTGTATTCCCTCAAAACTTCAGCAAATAACTGGAAACCATTAAAAAAAAATGGAAATTCTAGATATTAAAAAAAAACAACAACCAACATATAGGAACTCAGTGTGTGGAATTAACAGCAGATTAGACAAAGCTGAGGAGAGAAGAAACATATTGAAAAATAGATCTGAAAAAAATATTCAGAATAAAGCATGAAGAGTCCAAAATAAGGAAGATATAGAAGTAAAGGCAGGTAGTACATTGCGGAGGCCTGACATATGTGTAATTAGAGTCCCACACAGAGAGGAGATAGAATGGGTGCAAAAACAATATTTGAAGCGATAATGCCTTAGAATTTTCCAAAATTGATTAAAGACATCAAGTCACGTATGCAAGAATTTTCTTACAAATGCTCAACGGAATTTAAAAAATGAACCCCCCTAGACAAATCAGAAACTCAAATCAAAGCATATCTTAGGATAGAAAGCAGATTTTCTTCAAAGGAGCAATAATTAGAATGACATATAAAGTCTGAACAAAACAATGGAGTTCAAAATACAATGCAATAATATTAATAATATTAGAACACTGAAATCTTACACCCAGCAGAGATGTCCCTCAAGATGGAAGATAAAATAAAAAACCTTTTTTAAAAATAAAAACATTTTCAAATTCAGTCTGGGCAACATAGTAAGACCACATCTCTTAAAAAAAAAAAAGACATCAGCCAGGCATGGTGGCTCACACCTGTAATCCCAACACTTGGGAGGTGGAGGCAGGAGGATTGCTTGAGCCCAGGAGTTCAAGCAACACAGCAAGATCCCTGTCTCTAATTAAATAGAGAGAGAAAGAAAGGCAGCAGGGGTGGGGGTGGGGGGTGGGGAGGCATGAGGCTGGACACAGTGGCTCCTGCCTGTAGTTCCAGCACTTTGGGAGGCTGGGGCTGGCAGATCACGAGGTCAAGAGATTGAGACCATCCTGGCCAACATGGTGAAACCCCATCTTTACTAAAAATACAAAAAATAGCTGGGCTGGGTGGTGCATGCCTGTAGTCCCAGCTACTTGGGAGGCTGAGGCAGGAGAATCACTTGAACCCGGGAGGCAGAAGTTGCAGTTGCAGAAGTTGCAGCCAAAACTGTGCCACTGCACTCCAGCCTGGTGACAGAGGGAGGCTCTGTTTCAAAATAGAAAGAAAGAATAGAAGAGAAAAAAGAGAGAAAATTTAAGAGAATTCATTAATAGCAGATTTGATTCAAAGGGAATTTTGTATTCTTCAGGCAAATGAGGAAAGATACCAGATGAAAGTGCAGAGATACAGGAAACATTAAAGAACAACAACATAAGCAAATACAGGGATGAGTCAAATAGTCTAACTGACAACTAACCACTAAAACCACCACCATAACAACAATATAACATGAGGTTTGAAGTATATATAGAACTAAAATACATTTTTTAAAATTGTATATACATTGAGGAGGCTAATAAATGAAATTAGTGTTCTAAGTTCCCTGCATGCCTGGTGACAGAGCAGGGGCATCGCCATTGTGGACAAGCCCCTCATTCTAAAGTTCACCTTAATAAAAAAACCATCTAAATCCAAAAAGCATCAGCCTAATGGCAAAGGTCAACACAACCATAAACCACAAATAACATCTCCAACCAGAATCATTCCAAACTCCTCCCCAACCAGAGACTTGCTAGCCCTGAGATAACCCCCGTCCAGCTGGGAAGATGCCAGCCTTGAGATAAGCTCCCTCCAGCCAGAAAGATGTCTGCCCCAAGATAATCTTCACTCCTCAGAGAGACATCCCAACCCTGCCATAAAACTTCTTTCTCACACAGAAACATTCCCAGCTTGTGATAAGCCCCCTCACCCTAAAACCAATATATACTCTTAGTCTGTAAGAGAAGGTGCTCCTGACAGAAATTGACCAGAAGCCCCTCTCATGTTTTATCTAAAGTAAACTTGTCTTTACTGTTGAGCCACATTTTGTGTTTCTTTCTTCTTTCTTTAACTCTTACCCCTAGGAAGAAGGTAGAACTACCAAGTAATGTTAGACTTTAATAAGTCCAGATTCAAGCCTGATGCTGTGGCTCACACCTGTAATCCCAACATTTTGGGAGGCCAAGGCAGGTGGATCACTTGAGCCCAGGAGTTCAAGACCAGCCTGGGCAACATTGTAAAACATCTCTACAAAAAATACAAAAAAATCAACTGTGTGCATTGCCACATGTCTTTAGTCCCAGCTACTTAGGAGGCTGAGGCGGGAGAACTGCTTGAGTGTGGGAGGCTGAGGGTTCAGTGAGCTGTGATGGCACCGCTCCATTCTAGCCTGGGTGACAGAGCAAGACTGTCTCAAAAAGGAAAAAGCAAAAAAGGTCACAGGCTCATCTGCAATCATTGAACAACAAACAGAAAAATACAAGAGCATAGAATTTTCAAACAAATAGAGGGTGGAAATAGAATAACAAACATATCAACCCTCGAAGAGGGAGACCCAGGCATCTCAGATCAACTTCTCCTTTTTTATTCTTAAGACTGTAAACTTCCCCCTTTTCATTCCTAAGACTGTAAACTGAAATCCTTTTCATATGTAATTCCTGAGACTGTAAACTGAGATCCTTTTCATGTGTAATTCCTAAGACTGTAAACCGAACCCTTTTTCATATGTAATTCCTGAGACTGTAAACCAAGACCCTTTTCATATGTTAAGCTATAAACCTAAGATTCTTCCACATGTAACATCTAAAGTATAAGCCTATATAAAGACGAGCCTTCCTTTGTTATGGGAGCTTGGCTGTTAGGCAACTATGCCACCTTGCTCCCGGCCAAATAAACTCCTTCCTCCTGTATTCAGTGTCCGAGAGATCTGTTTCCCACGGCCGCTCCTGCTACACTCTAACATAGACAAACCAATCAAATAAAGTTAGACATATTTATTTAGTCACTTGATTTATAACAAAATTAACACTGCAATACAAGGGGGTGAGAAAAAAAACACTTTTACTATACTCTTACAACATGGAACACTTTTGTACTAGATGTGTGGGGGTTTTCCCACAAGACTGCCCCCAATTCAGATGCCAAGAACAAATTCCAGGCGGTGACCCATGCTTCAGACAGACTGGCTATAAATCAGGGTTCCCATGAGCCCCCTCCTCGGGTTTGATAATTTGCTAGTATTGCTTACAGAACTCAGGGAAACACTTTACTTATGTTTGCCGGTTTATTATCACACAAAGGAAGAAGCACACAGGCAAGGCCTGGAAGCTTCCTGAATTCAGGAGCTTCTTACCCTTCAATTTGTAACCGCCCAACTGGCTCACCTTGCCCAACACAGAGACAGAGTGATTTATTAAGACACGGGAATTGCAATAGAGAAAGTAATTCATGAAGTGCTGGCTGTTATTACTCAAATCCTATTATTACCCAAATCAGTCTCCTTGAGCACTGGGGGAATCAGAGTTTTTAAGGATAATTTGGTGTGCGGGGGCTGGGGGGGAGACAGTGAGTCGGGAGTGGTGATTGGTCAGGTCAGAGATAAAATTATGTCTAATAGAAGCTGTCTTCTTTCACTGAGTCAGTTCCTGGGTGGCGGCCATAACATGAGAGGAGCCAGTTTATTGATCCGCTGATCGATCCATCATCAGATGGTGGTGCCAGCTGATCCATCAAGTGAAACGTCTGCAAAATATCTCAAGCACTGATCTTAGCTTTACAATAGTGAGGTTATTCCCAGAATCTGAATCTTGTAGCCTCCAGCTGCATGACTCCTAAATTATAATTTCTAATCTTTTGGTTAATTTGTTAGTCCTACAAAGGCAGTCTATCCCCCAGGCAAGAAGGGAGTTTGCTTTGGGAAAGGGCTGTCATAGTCTTTGTTTTAAACTATAAACTAAGTTCTTCCCAAGTTAGTTCAGCCTATGCCCAGGAATAAACAAGGACGGCTCGGAGGTTACAAGCAAGATAGAGTCGGTTAGGTCAGATCTCTTTCACTTCTCAGTTATAATTTTCAAGGGTGGTTTCAGAGTTGGGGTGCACCACTCTCCCAGCAAGTGGATGCATTCGCCAACCTGGTAGCTTATCAAATCTCACTGCTTAGATAACTTAATCTCCACCTCCCGTCATTCCTGGAGGTTGATGGGTGGGGCTGAAAGTTCCAGCACTCTTATCACTGGTTTTCCAGTGACCAGCCCCATCCTGAGGCTATCTAAACTTAGGTGTGATAGAAAGGGCTTGTTCTGAGTAACAGAAGATATTCCTATCACGCAGGAAATCCCGTGGGTTTTAGTAGCTCTGTACCAGGAACTGGGGACAAAGACTAAATAGGTAAGTCTTAATACCATGTGGAGAAAGGAAGATCTTTTAATATGTTCAATTAAGTTTCACCTAAAGCTGCCTCCTTACATATTTTAAGGTATGCCTAAAGGTTTCTCCATACACAGTGAACTGTAACCTAACTGGATGTGTATGTAAATTAATAAACTATAACCTATTCCGGTGCCAATAACCAAGTTTCAGCCAATCAAAGGTGGCCACCTGTTTGAACCATGCAAACACACTGAGCTGTAACCAATCCAGCTGTTTCTGTACCCTCCTTTAGTTTTATCTATGTCACTTTCCTTTTTCTGTCCATAAATCTTCCACCTCAAGGTAGCACTGGAAGCTTTCTGAACTTGTTATTGTTAAGGGGCTGTCAGATTCTGGAATCCTTCTTTGCTCAATTAAAATCTGTTAAATTAGCTAGGTGCGGTGGCTCACACCTGTAATTCCAGCACTTTGGGAGGCAGAGGTATGTGGATCTCTTGAACCCAGAAGTTTGAGAGCAGCCTGGGTGACACAGTGAAACCCCATCTCTACTAAAAACACAAAAATTAGCTAGTTGTGGTAGAGAGCACCTGCAGTTCCAGCTATTCTAGAGGCTGAGATGGGAGGATCACCTGAGTCTGGGGAGGTCAAAGCTACAGTAAGTTGAGATTGCACCTCTGCACTCCAGCCTGGGCAACAGAGCAAGACCCTATCAAGTAAATAAATAAATGTTTTATTTGTCTAAGGTTTTACTGTTTTCTTCAAAACTAATATATGGTGTTGTATTATATGAATATCCATATGAAAAAAAAGAATTCTGGTCTCTATCTCCCATCACACATAAGAAGTAAATCCAGCAGACAGTAGATCTAAATGTGAATGGAAAAACAATAGAGCTTTTTGAAAGAAACATAAGAAAATATCTTCACAACCTTGTAGTATGCAAAACTTTCTCAAACAAGACCCCAAAAAATGGGCCACCTATATAGGGGAAAATGATAAATTGGACTATATTAAGATTTTAAATGTCTGCTTGTTGAAAGACAGTAACATGCCAAACTGTCAGAAGTGCTGAACCGGAGCAACTCCATCTTGAATAGCATCTAGAAAAAATGAGGATGAGGCCTGCTGGGCTGCATTCCTAGGAGGTTAGGCATTCTTAGTCACAGAATGAGATAGGAGGTCAGCAGGACTGGTATCACAAGATACAAGTCATACAGAACCTGCAGATGAAACAGAATGCAGGCCAAGAAGTCAACCAAAACCCACCAAAACCAAGATGGTAGCAAAAGTGACTTCTGGTTGTCTTCACTGCTCATTACACGATAATACATGAGTACGCTTAAAGACACACCCACCAGCGCTGTGACAGTTCATGTGGCAATGTCCAGACGTTACCCTATATGGTCTAAAAGAGGAGAAACCCTCATTTCCAGGAAATCCCTGCCCCTTTTCTGGAAAACTCATGAATAATTCACCCCTTGTCTAAACAAGAATCACGAAATAATCGTAAGTACACTCAGTCAAGCACCCCGTGCTGCTGCTCAGTCTATGGAGTAGCCATTCTTTCATTTTCTTACTTCTCTAACTTGCTTTCATTTTACTCTGCAGACTTGCCCTGAATTCTTTCTTGGAGAAGATCCAAGAACCCTCTCTTGGGATCTGGATCAGGACAGACCCCTTTCCGGTAATGAAACCACAAAGTGTAACAAGGTATTTGCAACAACAGAGGCTGCAATCACCCCACAGGGTTGACAAGAATTGTATGCTGGCTTCTAGACAGAAATATAGTTATAATTAAGCATTAATCAGCCTGACCTTTGGCCCACTTCCTTGTTGCTAAAAGTCTGTGGCACTAGCTCCTGACCATTTACATCCCAACTGTTACTATAGACAGGATTTCTGACAGTAGGGTCATAACACTGTTTAATAATTTATTTGCATCTCCACTGTTCCTATGACAGGATCTCTGACATCAGAATCATAAGGCTTTGGTTTAGGGATTGCCTGAATTCCAGTAATACAGCGGACACCAACTAGTTTGAAGACTCCCCCAGAAGAATGGGGTCAGCATGACTTCACTCTGCCCCTTTGACCAATCAACCATCTCCACACTTTGGCCTACTCCAAAACCCTTAAAAACTGTAACTCCAAACTCTTTCAGGGAGATGGATTTGAGGTTTCCTCCCATCTCCTCCTTTGGTGACTTTTCTTGAGACAGATTTGCAGGCAGTGGTGTGATTTCAGCTCACTGCCACCTCTGCCTCCCAAGTTCAAGCAATTTCTCCTGCCTTAGTCTCCCAAGTAGCTGGGATTATAGACACACACCACGGCAGCAGGATAATTTTTTTACTTTTAGTAGAGACGGAGGTTTCGCCATGTTGAACAGGCTGGAATTGAACTCCTGGCCTCAAGTGATCAGCCTGCCTTGGCCTTATAAAGTGCTGGGATTACATGAATGAGTCACTGCGCCCAATCCTTTGGTGACCTTATGATTAAACCTCTTTCTCTGCTGCAAGCCAGTATCTTGGCATATTGACTTGCTGTATGCATCAGATAACAAATTATTACAGTTGCAAGTCTGTATTCATGTGGCAAGAATATATTTAAAACTCCTACAAATCAATAACAGAATGACAAAACAATGCAATACTGGGCAAAAGACTTGAACAAGCAATTCACAATACTCATATAAATTATTAAATAGGCCAGGCATGATGGCTCAAGCCTGTAATCCCAGTACTTTGGGAAGCCAAGATGAGAGGATTGCATGAGGCCAGGACTTCAAGATCAGTCCGGGCAATATAGTGAATCCCCATCTTTACAAAAAATAAAAAAGATTAGCCAGGCATGGTGGTGCTTGCCTGTAGTCCCAGTTACTCAGGAAGCTGAAGTGGTAGGATTGCTTGTGCCTGGAAGGTCAAGGCTGCAAAGAACTGTGATTGTACCACTGCACTCTAGGCTGGGCAACACAGCAAGACCCTGTCTCATAAAATATAATTTATATTTACTGTAAATATAAATTAATAAAGCATATCCAAATGGTCAATAAACACAGAAAAGGTACTTAACTTTGTTATGGAGGAAATATAAATTAAAATCCTAACAAGATATTCCATACAACCTCCAGAATTGATTAAAATGAAGAAACTGAAGTCAAATAACAAATATCTACAAAGATGGGGGCAAAAAGAACTCTCAGTAGCTGCTGGTGGGAATGTAAATTGATTTATGGGAAAACTGTGTCTAGGAATGCTGAAAATAAGAATATTTTATGACCCTAGCAATTCTCAGGTATATACCAAATAGAAATCTTTAATATTTACCCAAAACACATAATAATGTTCATAATAACCTCAAACTGGATACAGGCCAAATCACCATTGATACCAGTACAAATAAATAAAACATAGTATACACATACCATAAATACATACAGTATATGCACACAAAGAATTTCTCCACGGCTATGAAAACTAACAGACATGTAATAATATCGTTCTGGACTGAATTATGTCACCCCTACCCAACCCCCAACATTTATATCTTTAAGCCTTAACCTCCAGTGTGACTGTATTTGGAGATAAGGCTCCGAAGAAGGTAATTAAGGTTAAATGAAGTCATAAGGATGGGGCCCTAATCCAATAGGACTGGTATCCTTATAGGAGGAAGAGACCAGAAATCTCTTTCTGCCCACACACAAAGGAAAGGTCATTTGAGGACACAGCAAGAGGGCAGCTATCTGCAAGCCAGGAAGAGAAGCCTCACCAGAAACCATCCTGATAGATCTTGATCTTGGCCTTCTTGCCTACAGAACTATGATAAAAGCTAATTTTTGCTGTCTAAGCCACCCAAGTCTGGTACTTTGCTATGGTAGATTTGCAGACTAAGACAAGCATGGATTAATTTTATAAAAAATTTTAAGCAAAATGAACCAGACATAAACATGTTTCTAATTATTTTATTATTTTGTTATTGTTTGTATTTTTAGGGAGTCTTGCTCTGTTGCCCAGGCTGGAGTGCAATGGCACAGCCTCGGCTCACTGCAACCTCCGCCTCCCAGATTCAAACAATTCTCCTGCCTCAGCCTCCGGAGTATCCAGGACTACAGGCACATACCACCATATCTGCCTAATTTTAGTATTTTTAGTAGAGATGGGGTTTCACCATGTTAGCCAGGCTGGTCTTGAACTTCTGGTTTCATGTGATCTGCCCACCTCAGCCTCACAAATTGCTGGGATTACAGGTGTGAGCCACCATGCCCAACCCATAATTATTTTATTACATTATTTACTGTTTAAAAACATAAGAGATGGGGGTTTCACCATGTTGCCCAATCTGGTCTCGAACTCCTGGACTCATGCAATCCTTCTTTGGCCTGTAACCCTCATGAAACAAGGGAACTTGCAATATACTTTAAATCTATTAACAATAAAGTTGGGGATTTGTCCCAACAAACAATGAAAAATTCTGGGTTCTCATGAAAAAAGAATTCATGAATAAAACAGGAATCCCTTGCTCCACTCTGAGAAATATAAAGAATTCGTCAAACAGGAGTCTCTTGCCCCACTCTTAAAAGAGGAATATAAATGAGTGGAAAAGTAATTCTGTACTACTACTTCCCAAAAATTCATCAACAAGATGAACATAGGAATCAGAAAATGAGAGGTCTAGCCACTTTTTTTTTTTTTTTTTTTTAAAGAGAGTCTCATTCTATCCCCCAGTCTGGAGTACAGTAGTGCTGTCTCAGCTCACTGCAGCCTCTGCCTCCCAGGTTCAAGCTATTCTCCTGCCTCCGTGTCTCAAGTAGCTGGGACTACAGACATGCACTACCACGCCTGATTAAGTTTTGTATTTTTAGTAGATATGAGGTTTCACCATGTTGGCCAGGCTGGTCTCGAACCCCTGACCTCAAGTGATCCACCCACCTCAGCCTACCAAAGTACTGGGATTATAGGCATGAACCACTGTACCCAGCCTGCAGCGTCTAACCTTTTCAAAGACATTTTACCATACAAACAAAACCTGTCTGTTGCATGAATCTGTCTTGCTCTCAGCAGGACCTAAATGTCCTGTTCTATTACCAAGTTATCCTGTCACAGAACACTTCAAGCGACGGGTGCCCTACTGGCTTTTATCTGCCCAACTAGTGCCCACAAATAACAGCTTTGACAAAGAAAAGGAAAAACAAGTCCCAGAATTTGGGCTTACCTCCTGGCTGGCCCAACAAAATATGTTACTGGATAGAAGGTCTTGACTGTGAGTTGTCCAGGTTCTTGGTGCGTTGTGCAAAGAATGAACAAAATGCACAAAGCAACAAAAGAAACAAATGCACAACAAAACAATGAAAGAAAAGAATAACAAAGGCACAGACTTACTGAAAAAGTGAGAGTACGATTTCACCAGAGTCGGAGCAAGCTCAAATAAAGCAAGCCAAAAACACCCGGCAACAACCCTAGGTACCTTTAGAGGCCTCCCATTGGTTACACCCTGTGACGGATTGGCCTGCAACCAATCAGAGGCTGAAGCGGAGGCTTGGCCCACAGTCAATCAGAGGCTGGAGTGGAAACTTCTGTCTTATCACCGAAGTAAAGAGTTGGCCTATATGCTGCCCAAGCTTCCCTAGAACTGGCTGCATCTGCTGTTCTCTTTCTTCTGTGAACTGGCTGCACCTGTTGTTCCTTTGCCTATGCCCCAACCCTTGGCTATTCCTTTGCTTATGCCTCAATCCTTGGCCACCTTAATTCCCTGTTCTCCTGCCTCAGTTATACACATGTGCTCAGTTTATGTGGTCTTTTGTGTCTGTTCAGTTTATGAAGCTCACTTGATGAAGTTCATCAAGGTAGGCACTTAAAATTTAGGCCTTTTTCTGTACATTATCATTCCATTAACAGTTTTAAAAGCCATTTCAAAGGAACAAAAGAAAGGGGGAAAAAGAACATAAAACAGAGGAACAAGTTGCATGCAAATAATAAATGTTAGAAATTTTTTTTAAAAGTAACAAGAAATGTTAAAAAATCAATGACCATTTACATTATATTAAATGTAAATGGACTAAATGCTCCAATTAAATGACAAAGATTGTCAGGCCATATAAAAAACAACAAAGCCCTACAATATGTTCACAAGAAACAACTGTAAGATATCAGAAAGTCTGAAAGTTAAAACTGACAAAATTGTCTTCAAAGCAAAAAAGCATTACTAAAATAAAGAGGATTATTCCATAATGATAACAGATTTGATTCTAGAAAGATAAAATAAATCTAACTATTTATACTCAGTATTTAACCTCAAAATACATAAAGCAAAAATAGAAACAAAAAGGAAAAGACATATTCATACAGGCTACTTTAAAACACTTCTCTCCTTAAATGATAAAATGAGCTGTCAAAAGTTAGAAGGATATAGAAAATTTGCACATGATTAGCAAACTTGACCTACTTGACAACTGTAGAACACTGCACCCAATTAAAAACATGGAATCATAGAATTGAATACAAAGAACATTTACTAAAATATACTATATGCTGAGCAATAAAATAAGTCTTAACAATCTTCAAAATACTGAAATCATAGGAGTATATTTCACTACAGTTTAATTAAGCTAGAAACTGATAACAAAAAGGAAATTGAAATATTCCCATATATCTGGAAACTAAGAATACTTCTTTTTCTAAAATTAATTAATTTTTTTTTTTGAGACTGAGTCTTGCTCTGTGGCACAGGCTGGAGAGCAGTAGTGTGATCCTGGCTCACTGTTCAAATGATTCTCCTTCCTCAGCCTCCGGAGTAGCTGGGATTACAGGCTGTACCACTACACTCAGCTAATCTTTGTATTTTTAGCAGAGACAGGGTTTCACCATGTTGACCAAGCTGGTCTCAAGCTCCTGGCTTTAAGTGATCTGCCTGCCTTGGCCTCCCAAAGTGCTGGGATTATAAGCGTGAGCCACAATGCATGGCTTAAGAATGCTTCTTAATTGAACCAGAATGGTTAAAGAACAAGTCATGGTGGAAATCACAAAATATTTTGAGATGGATGATAATCAAAGTATGACATATCAAAACTTCCTGTGCTTAGAGAGAAATGTATAGACTTATAAATGCATATATCCCAAAGCAAGAAAGGCTGAAGATCAATTACCTCAGGAAGTAAGAAAAAAGTGAGCAAATTAATTTTTATTTATTTATTTATTTTGATCTCACTCTGTCCCCCAGGCTGGAGTGCAGTGGTGCAATCTTGGCTTGCTACAACCTTTGCCTCCTGGGCTCAAGCAATCCTCCCATCTCAGCCTTCCAAGTAGCTGCAAGTAGCTGAGGCTATAGGCAATCCTTGGCTCCCGAATATCATTCTTACCTGTGAGATGTTGAAAGTGTTCCCTTTGCAAACAGGAATGAGGCTACTTAAGACATTGTGCCAGAGGTCCTCATGCCCAGGAAAATAAGGAAAAAAAAATACATATATATATATGTGAGAGATAGGAGGCCTGGATAGAAAAAAACAAAACTGTCATTATTCAAATTCATAAGTGAATTTAGCAAGGACATTAGGTATAAAATCAATTTACAAACATCACTTACATTTCTACACAAAAAGATGTAAGATGTTTATGGATTGGATATTCATGGATTGGCTATTGGAATATTGGCTATTGGATATCCATGGATTGGAATATCATTAAGACGTAATTTCTCCCCCATCAATTTACAGGGTCAGTGCAACCCCAGTGCAAATCCTAATAGGCTGTTATTGTGGAGATTTTCTCTTTTTTCTTTTTTGTTTTTTTTGAGACAATGTCTTGCCCTGTCACCCAGGCTGGAGTACAAT